TGGGCGTTGGCGGGTGAGGATTTGGAGCCCGTCTCTACATCCCTCCACGTGAATGCGTCCTTTGAAGCGTATATTAAAAAATTAAAAATTAAAAATTAAAAATTATATATAATTTGAAAATTAAAAGACTAAAATTAATATTTAACTTTTATATTTATTATCAGCGTCAGACATCGTTGGGCGTTGGCGGTTCAGGATTTAGGGCCCATCTCCATCCCTCCACGTTAATGCGTCCTTTGAAACGTCAAAACATCAAGACATGACAGCTAGTTATAATTAAAAGGAAAATAATTTTAAAACAATGCTTTTTTAATAAATTATGTTATTTTAATATATGTATATGCTAAGTTAAATATTTTTTTTGATTTTTTTACTATAAAAAAAGTTTTTTTTTGTCCTGTATGAATTTTTTTTTTAATTTTACTGTTTACAAATTCGACTATTTTTGGTTCTTTCATTAATTTTTGCTTACGTGACACGTTAACTTAACGGGAACAACTGATGTGGATATGCCAACATGGAAAAAGAAAAAAGAAAAGGTTAAATGCTAAATTTAATCCCTCAACTTTATAAGTTTGCATTTTTTTTATCATTAGATTATTCTTTTCACTTTTTTGATCTTTTCACTTTTTTGATCTTTTAACTCTAAAAATTACATAATTTTGATTTTTCCGTTAGTTAAACATAACGTGATAATTAAATAATTTCATTTGGCATTTTCTTTTAATTTTTTTAATGACATGACAATTATATATATTATAATTATGTTATATAGATAAATAAAAATGTTACGTAAATAAATATTTATATTTAATTTAAACATAAAATTACATTATTACGCTCAACTCTCAACCCCTCTTTGTCCCTTTCTTTCTTTCTCTTTCTTTCTTTCCTACCCAAATTGGCTGGGTTCGTCGAAACCCAAAGGTTGCTCGAACCCAACCTTGCGGCGTTCGTCAAAACTCAGTTACTAGTTTCATTAAAGCCACTAAGTTCATCAAGCCAGTAGATCTCATCAAATCATATTAACCCTTCAATAAACAATATTATTCAAACTCTAATCCAATTCCAACAAAAATGCAATCAAACTCTAATCTAATTCTAAGAAAAATGCAATCAAACTCTCAAATTTATCAAGAACCGAAAATGAAAATAGAAAGAAAAATGAAAAAACATGAACCTAGCGTCGAAACCCGACAAGGCTGGGTTCGCGCGAACCAACATGGCTGGGTTGGTCGAAACCCAGTCTTGCTAGTTTCGTTGAGCCTGGGTTGGTCAAACCTAGCCTTGCTGGTCGCGCGAACCCAGCAGCTGGGTTTCGACGGACCCAGCAAGGCTGGGTTTGCACGACCAGCAGGGCTGGGTTTGCACGACCAGCAAGGCTGGGTTCGCACGACCAGTAGGGTCGGATTCGCGCAACCAAGACCAACAAGGCTGGGTTCGTGCGACCAGGACCAACAAGCAAGAACAGCAAGGAGATCGGATTTCAGCAAGCGAGAAACATTGGATCGGATGAAATGATCGAGACGGACGTGATCAGATCAGATCAGAGTGGATTTCATGTTCGTGTTGCGAAAGAGTTACGGAAAAGGAAGGTAATCAACGGCAGCTGAGAGATTTCGAAGGGTTTGGAGGAATTTCTGTGCAGAAGTTTTGAAGTGAGATACAGCATAGAAAGCAGTGCTCGACGAACCTAGCTACCCAACTCGTCGGAACCTAGTCGATCTGGGTAGGAAAAAAAGAAAGAGAAAGAAAGAAAGGGAAGAAGAGGGATGGGGAGGTGCGGATAATAATGTAATTTTATTTTTTAATTAAAATATAAATATTTATCTACGTGATATTTTTATTTATCTATATAAC